AAAAAAAAAAAAAAAAAGAATCTTTGGTAAGAAAGGTAAAACCAGCTATGCTCTGGCCACTGGGGTCACAGAGCTGGCATCAGAACAGAGGAGCCTGGAGGGGAAAATGGGAATGTAGTCCCTTGAGCTTGTGTCGCTGGCTACTGAGCTTGAACTCCACATTAAGTGTTTTTGTGTGTGCGTGAGAGCCAGATTCTGCCTTTAGTGGGGACCTGGGTCTGAGACCAGAGATATCACCATAAATTCTGACTATGACAACCCCCTAAGCCAGTGTTTCCAAGTCTGTGCTAGATCAGGTTGTGGAAAAGGAGCGTGGCTTCCTCTCCTTGGGTTACAGCATAGTCCCCTGCATAACAAAACAGCTTCTGGAGACCCCTCTGCAAACTTCCTCTGGAGACTAGGGTGGAGGGAGGCTGGGCGTGTATGAGGATCTTGAATTGTAAAACAAGTTCTGCTGGTAAAGCCTAAAATCAGAGTTTGAGAAGTAACACGTGAAGTTTCTCAGCTAATAAATATCAGACTTTAAAATGAGTGCATCTTCCAAGCCAATAATTCCACTTCTAGGAATCTGTCTTGAGAGATAGCTGCACAACAAAGATAAATGCTTATATAAGATTGTTCTTTGCAGAATTATTCATTTGGAAAATTGTCAACAACTGCCAACTGCACCTCTCTAGGAGCTGACAAGTTAGAGCAACTCTGGGACCTCCCTACAGTGGGCAGTTATGATGGGGTAAGTCTGTGCATTAGGGGTTGACTAAGGTTTATTTATTGGTATTGTACAGTGTCCCAGCTGAATGGAACTTTGGACATAGTTGGTGAGAACTTTCCATGGGAAAGCTTTTTCTAACTGGTAAGTTATTGTTACTTTTCTCTTAACCAATTTTGACATACAGCCACTTTCTAAATTTAAAAGAAAATATCGTTGCAAGGAGCTCCTCCTCCGCACCCACCCCAAACATACGAAGAAATTGGGAGAAAAGAAGATACTTATCTGAGAGTGAGCCATTGGTCCTGACTCATAGGGAAGCTCAGGGGTGAGTTAGGAGAGGAAGGAGCTGGCTGCTCAGGTGCTCTAAGCCAATTCCCTGGCTCAGTACTGAAAAAAATTGAAATCAGAGGCTCTTGGATAGGAGGCTCCATGTTGATCCTTTGGGTGGTCACATAGTTTTAAATGAAGGCTGTGTAAATCTATTTTTATTTTTAGAAAGGCTAGCCACTTCCCTTTTTATGGAAATGGGCAAAGGTACCACCAGCATTCACTGAAAACCAAGATGAGCCAAGTTTAGGTTCAGTGTAAAGGAGAAGATGGGGTTCTGTGGAGTGCAGGGAAGTGGTCCAGCAAAGGCCAGAGAAAGTAATTCAGGAAACAGTTGGATTTGGTCAGATGGTAGGTCCTTGAAGGCCAGGGTGAGATTTGGCAGTGTGAGCAGTAGGGGTCCCAGGCCGGTTCTTAACAGGAGCTGAGGAGAGTTAGGAAGATTGGGGGGGGGGACGGCGGCGGTGGGGCGGGGTGGGGTCAGGTGACTCAGCTCTAGGTAATTGAGGCTGAGCAGGTGGAGATCTGCATTTGAGATGTAGGTGATCTGGCTTTTATGAGGTTCTGCATTTTCATATATTATGGATTGCTGCTTATCAACATCTTCCTTCTGAAAAGTCTCGTGTCTTGTTGGTCAACCACACTTTGCTTAACTTTCTCCTAATTGTTAGGTATGTCCTTGTTTAATTTTGAGTGTCTACGTGTGTGCATGAGGTTAGGAAGCCCATAGCCTAGGTGACCTGAGGGCTTTGGGCAGCAGTGATGTGTGGTGGAAAGGTGACATTTGGCACTTGGGATTTGAAGTTACTAGCCAGGTGATTTAGTCAAATCATCCAATTTTTTTTAACTTCTGTTTTTTTATCTGTGGAAATACAAGTCTTTGGTGAGAGTGTGATATAAGCACACCTCATTTGATTGCACTTGGTTTGAGCTTTGCAGATACTTCAATTTTCATTATTTTTACAACTGAAAATTTCTTTCTTTCTTTTTTTTTTTTTTTTTTT